TTCCAAGACTTCTCTCATCTCCTAAGGGACCGGGCCCGGAAGATTGCAGCCGTTGGAGGTAAATCTTAGACACCTTTACACTTCGCGATAGCAGTTCTGGAAATTAGTAATAAGTTGGCTACAGTAGCTTTCCCTCGCACCAAGTCTAGGCACCAAGCAAAAGATGGGCCTCAAGGGCGTCGTGATCCAACGTTATCGTTCTTGCAAGCCGATTCTAAGTTTGATTGACCCTACTGCATCAGGTATATTTTGGACAGGACTGAAACTCATAGAAAGCAATGGCCTGCAGTCAAGACTTTGTGTTGACCTGATTCCTGTAAGCGAAATCACCTAGCACCATAAAACCGATGGCAGTGCCGCATATTCAATGGCACGTTCCTAGCACTCGGTGGCCAACTAAACAACGATCTGGAGTCGATTTAGCCACCAAAAGGCGCTTATTCATGAACGCTCATGATCGGTTACGGGGTTCACACATCCCATTCTACTTTGAGGCGCCGTCAGCAGCTGCACAGTTACTACTGTTATGGACAGCTGAAATGTCCGACGGACTCTACTCCACTGCGCCACGGACTAATAAAAAACAATGGTCGTTTCAGTCTTCCTCGTCTTTGTCGGCAATGTGCATCTACACTGAGGATGGACCTGCCGAAAGGAATGCCTTATGAGGTGGGTGACGAGTCTCGCTGGAAGTACAAATCAATCGAACACGATAGGTGTTGTCATAAACTATGGCGTTAAAGTGCCCTTCAGACCTAATCTTCCAGACTCTAGATTAGAAGTCCACTTTGCAACACACGCCAGACGAGAGTGGCAATCTTTGAATGTAGCCGTTTGAGAGACAGCTGAGAGAGAGAGAGTAGTGGAACTCAGATCTCATCACAGAAACGAAAGCATCACCCCAAGCACTGACTGGATACGGTTGTGATGTTGTCGGCCTCACAGACGGTACCTCTCCACACGTGAAAATTGGAGGCAGCATATCTGGAAAGCTCCCCCATTCTCTTTTCCAGCGAGGGAGGCCGTAAATCAAAGGTCCAAGAACCATTTCCATGTCTTGATAGACAGTGTCGAGGGAAGTCTTGAGTTGCCCTCCTCCAATTGAGCTGCGGCGCCGGATCGAGGGCAGCGCACCAAAGCTCGTGAGGCTGACGATAGCGGACGTGCCAAACCAACCTTAGTCGTCTTTCTTGAATGGCTTTAGATATCCTCGCGATAGTCGCAGCAAATACGAGCTGTCTCAGTTGAGATGAAGTCGGTATACTTCACTCGAAGGATAGTCCTCAGGCAACGTTGATTAAATACGTCCAGTCTTCGCCCACTTTCAAAGCGCAATAAACAGAACTCACGTGCCGAGGACTGACTGCACGGATCTTCGTGGGCATGGAGATATTGCATCGGATCTATATGCGCTTTCGACAAGCAACATCGACTCAGGAGACAATGTCGTCCTCACCCTGTCCATTCAGTAGCAGCCTCGACCCGAGGTATTTAAGTTCAAGTCTTCAAAATGACGGTCATTAATCTGCAGGGGTGCAGCTCTTCCCCGCATTTACGGACAAGCCAGCCGACATGGCGACGCATTCACCCGTAACACTACACACTGTAGATCGCCAAAGCTTGAAGCTATTAAAGCGATATGATCGGCGAAGTCGAGATCAATCAGCCGACGTCCAGGCGAAAGCTCGACACCGTCCTCTTCACGTAGAGCCCTCCCAAGAATCCGATCAATGACATAATCAAATAGAACAGACGACAGAACACAACTTCGTCAAACGCCAGGCCAAATAGCAAACGGTTCTGAAATATGCAACTATCTGCTTCAACTACATTCCGCAACGAGGAATCCGTACTTTAATTCCACAGGATTATTAAAAACTCGAATTGGGAAGAGTAAGGCTGATGGTAAGGGAAAACCAGCCCCAAATGTTAGCAAGAAATCCAGAATCGGACAAAGTACCAGACAGCCTCACCGTAATTTTCGAGTCGGTCTACCGTATACTCCAGAGCAGGATCGAAGAGATGCGCTGGACTAAGGAGAGAACAGACTATCACAATATCCACCTCATTTTCTGTTCCACGCTTCCACCTAAACCCGGTGTCAAAACAGTCAACAAAACCGAAAAGGGCGGATTAACGTACCCACTAGGCTGGTGACATATCGCTCTGGAACATGGATAACAACCTAATTAGAGTGCATTTGGTCATGTTCAAGTCGGACTTTAACTTTCAAACTATGCAGACCGAGGGCTTCAAAAGTCTCTACTCTTGAAAGGAGTTTCTGTTGCCATAAACTTATGGTGTCGACTAACCGTCTCTCGGTAGAAACATAACACGCTAGGCGTAGCAACAAGACAAGAGAAGACGACAGTCCTGCTGAAGCTTTTGAGTCTGTAATGAAAATGCAGACCTCAGGAGAGAAGCAATACTTTATAGATAAATTACATCGTACCTACCGCCTAGGACGTTTATTCCCCAGTACACCTGAACGGCAAGGGAAATACCGTAACGAATATTTCCGTTTTACTCCCGACATGGACCATGAAGCAACCCGTGGTTTCGACTTTATTTGTATAGGGTTTGCATGAGCCAGCATAAAACGACAGTCCCACAACTGCAGATGCAGTAGAAACAGCTGCCGTTCACAGGCTTATCAAGTGCGGTAGAGTAGGTAAACAACACTATCGCGCGTACTCCTAACGTTCACCAAATACCTCGACAGACTGATCATAAAGGAACAAACTGTGGCAATTGGTGAGTCGATCGCGAAGTGTCAAGCCAGTACCGCACCAATTAAGACCC